GTTGACGACCGCGCTATTTTTCGCTGTATGGCGTGTGGGAGCGCGCGCATTATTTTGACCGCGCGAGTGTGACTGGCACCATGTCAAACGGTCCCACAAGAACTCCTTTTACTCAGGAAGTGTGTATTTGTTATCTTTCTTGTATGGTAGGTCTCCGATTATGCGATTTTGGCCATTTTAGCGATTCCTGTGATTTGACCATTATTCAAACATTTTTAGAAAAACTCGATAGCCCATCAACCGAAGCTTTCTTTCTAGGGACCACACTTTTGTAACAATGCCCCTAAGTATGGCGCATACATCACGTAAATAAGTTACCTAAAATGTTTGAAAACCAGCTTAAAAAAAGACTGTGACATGACATCATGTCACACGGTCCCACGTGGCCGAAAGAGTGTGGTATGACATCATACCACACGGTCGTCAACGTGTCGTTAATTAATACCACCCCCAGTATTCGAGAAAGTAAAAAGTACGCCTAACTAAAAAATCTCCTGTAAGCACATTCGATGCTTCCAGAACATTTATCTGCGCAGCCGTCAGTGATGACTGCAATAACTCAGCCTCAAGTTCTTCTGTGATCATTTATCAAGAAAGCTATAACTTAATTACTATTGACAGCAGAGGCTATAGTACATCAATGGGTAACTCGGAATGGCGTATTTCGATGCAGATCCTAGGTAACCCCTACTCTGGGACAAATGAGCCACACAATTCTTTGAATTAAAGGGATCCTTCGCGAAAAAATTTCATGTATCCTTTCTTGACATGAATGTGTCAGTTGTGATCACTGGAAACAGCACACAAAGTTTCACGCATGAAGATTCGGTTTCCGAAGAGAAACAAACGTACAAAAACTACACTCTATGGACAATCGAAGGTAATTCGGGCGGAGCCAAAGGCGAGGCATGGAAAGAAGTTGGCCTTTGGCCGGCTACGTATCAGGCGACGCAATGAAAGAATCGGGTTAAAGCGCGCGATTTCGGAGAGTAGAGACAAATCGATCGATAGAATAGGATGGAGTAGAAGTGTGAGATGTGAATGAAGCAAGTTAAGTGGCCTGAAAAAGGTTCTAGTGGAGGCATTCCAAGAACCAAGTGGAAGCACATCCGTCGCCAGCATTTGTGTACAGATGCGCCAATCGTACTTTTGAACCGCGTAGCATTACCTGTCCGGTTTTCGGAATTTTTTTTCACAACAATAAGTAGAATCCTTGTTACTGTCATTCTCATCGTGGATACTGAGTCTCAAGCCAAAGATTCATGGCTGAAACAAAATCATGATTTTTCCGTGAAGTATTCCTTTAAGGTCTTGAAGGCACGGGTCGGAATTGGATCCTTTGAGTGAGGTAGCAGGATATCTAATGGTGGGAGTTAATGTACTGCCACAATTTGAAATTTGCGATACGGGGGCCGATGCCTGGCTCATGGTTTGACTGGACACTGCCGCCGCTGCCATTCTCATCAATGGCAAAGTAGTGTCCGCACAGCCTTTACATGTGATGGGCTCTCCGACCTTTTCCTCCCCACGCTGCGCTGCGTAACTCCGTGGTTAGTCTACACGGCCAACTCAGAGCGGATTCAGTGTTTCGTTGATGGCTCTTAGTTTTTTTCCACTATTTGTCCCTTCACTTTGTTTAATGCATGTAGAAAAATAAAGTACCATACAAAATTTAAAAAAAAAAAAAAAAAAAACAAAAAATCAAACTACACTTCGTCGCGACTCTGCCCTTCGAGACCTAAGGAGCGTTTCTGGAGTCCTTTATCGCGAACTATTGCCACTGTCAAAAAGTACCATCCTGGTGATTTAGACCTTCACGCTCGATGCGAGCGAAAGGTTTTGTAATTATTCAGCTCGGACGCTTTCAACATTTTGATACTAAATGCTCGGTTGCAAGTTCAATATGATTACAATAAATATGCGGTTGCTGAAAAAACAACAGTCAGATTAAACTTCTAGTCTTGTGAACAACAGTGGGCAGCCCAATCCCATCTGCAGTGGGTATGCGGGTAGAGGTCAATCAGTATCGCAGCTTCATTAGAGCTCAATCCAGGCAGAAGGCATAGGAACACCTTCTCTGTCTGTGGAGATCACCTGAAAAAAAATCACTGATGTGGCACCCTAGTACATGGAGAAAGAAACATGAAAATACCGCTTCAGCCGCTTCAGTTCAGCTTTCAGTCAGAGAAGTTTTTCCCTTTTTTTTCACTGCCGGCTCCTTCCACACTAACTTTGGTACGTGTACAACAACCGCAGCAGTTGTAGATCAAGGGCATGCCTTTGATCATTATTGTCACATCATTAATCTCTATTCTTGACATTTCTGCAGGAATCGAGGTAAGCCTTGGCTGAGGATGCCTTTTTTGTAATTGGTTAGTCAGCTTCGTATATCATGTTGTTGTATTGATTCACTCTTTTATGTTAGAACGTAATGTATGGATGATGTTATAGACCTGAAGAAGGGCTTACGGCCCGAAACGTCGTCAAATAAAGCCTTTTGGAAGAGTTTCATTTCAATCAACAACAAAGAAGTCTCGTGAAACAATGAAGCTCAGGAACCCTATGATCTTAAACTTTTAATGTTCCTTCAATCTCAGTTGGGTGGGGGGTGACCCGGGGGGGGCGAATATTTTCTACAACCTTTTTGTTTTATCTTTTAGTTAGAAACAGGTTTTTGTAGGAATAAAGTAGGAAGCCTCATTCTTTCGCACAGTCACCCAGCGGAAGACCAACCCACTTGCCAGAGCTGCACGTTGCAGTGGTTTTGCCTGAAGCAAAATGTTGGTGTTGTCAGAAGAAAGCAAAAAAAAAAAAATAAATCAGAAGCAAAAGAAAAGAAAATGCCTCAACTGCGCACACTCGTCTAAGTGTGAACCAATGCCCTCCGTGTACGTAATTACAGAATTCCTACACTACATATATGCCAAGAAATTCCTCACCGCTTGTTTTGAGACCAGTGTGACATTTGAGTGTGCAAACGAGTTCCCTCTTCAAGTGGTGACAGTCGGTAGACTTGGGGGGGGGGGGGGGGGGGGGGGGGGGGGGGGGGGGGGGGGGTTTATATTACTGGAGGTGTACATTAGACGAGCAGTTGGGCTGTCCTGTATCGGAGGGCAGGGAGGCATCTGCACAACAAAAACTTATATAATACACACAATCATGAAGGCAACAATGTTGCACTTGAAATATTTATTATAACTGGAATTTCTCACAGCCTTCTCTGATGAGCGTTAGTACCACGAGTGTGAAGATGGACGACCTGCACATAATTGCACCTCTGAAAACAAAATACTACTTAGGTAGTGATCTGGACCATAATTTCATGCGATAACGAGAAAATAACTCGGTAAAGGATAAAGGATAAAGCATTTGCCGTTGATCAATCCCTTTTTGGGATGCGGCACGCATTCTACTTCCATTTGTACATTCGTAGTGGCGTTTGAATGCGATGTGGCCTATACAATGACTTGCGGGGGCCAGCCGATGTACAAGTCAGTGTTTTTATCCTCCCAGACAAGTCTGGTACCAATTAACCGACCCCGGAGGGATGGAAGGCTTGGTTGGCCCGGGCGACTCACGACCCAGAATTTGATCTCGGACCGCTCGTTGGCGAAGCGTGCACTTGGCAAACTACACCACTTCCGCCCTTAAATAGCACGCCATGGTCCAGTAATATCGGTTTGTTGTCAGGAATGTTAGCTTGGACAGCTGGATGGGCAACCTAAGCGGTTAACATTGGCTCTAACATTACGCGACGGTAACGTGCGATTATGGGGGGGGGGGGGGGGGGCAAGGGCCCAAAAACTAGAGTAATTTGGAAAGGTGACCCCGGAATTTTCTGAAGGGAAGGTGCATTGTTGAAGGCACGGGTCGTGATCGAATTGTTTCTTTGTTCGAAAATTAGAGCAAGTGCGAAGAGGAGCATCACTGGGGGAAGAAAACGGAACGCACTCTGAAAAGCACTGAAATTTCTCGTGAGGTCAACCGTTGTTAGGAGAAACATAGCGTGCGAGGAGAGAAAAGCCAAAAGATTACGTAGTGCGGGAGAGGGCTCAGACGTGACAAGCCACCTATGCCGCATCTGATAAGAATGGCAATGGTCACAGCGGCAAGGAAAATGATTTAGCTCGCTTCGCACTTTCAAACCGCAACAGCAACACCTTCCTTGTGAACGGTGCACTATAAGATGAAAAGATAACTCATTTGAAATTAAGGTAAGGGTGGTCAGTAGCAACGAGCTTTAAGAAACCACGTGCAAACGATCGATTCTCAGAACCCGGAAATATAACCCATCATTGTGTCTGCCAACAGACACCCCTAGATTTCCGTATTGCTGCTAGTTCATCTTCGGTTTCTGCCTCTCCAACGCGTTAATTGCTCTCCCTGCTAACGGAACGAGACGGCGACGGTTGTGGAGCGGCAGTGGCCCTTCGCTCAGCCACTGCCCGTCACCGTCGCTAGGTCTTTGGCGCCAGACTCTTACGTACGCAGAACGGCCGTTGGTCCAGCATTCAAGGCTTTGGCCTGGTTTCAATTAGAGTCTTCTCCAGCCCGACGTTTTCGTCTGTGAAGTGATACCTCAAAGGAGATCCTAGACTCACATGTCCGGATGCCTTACTTCCATGTTTCTAGAAAACATAAGCGCTTCGCTTGACTCTTGCCCTTCCACCAGCTTCCCGGTTCCACCCATCATCGCCTTTGACGTTATCGTTCGGCGTTTACTGTTAAGACATCTTCGAGGGGAAAAGGGAAGGAAATAATTCAACAAGAATTGAAGTTGTAACAAAAATAAGAAAAACGCAAAGTTGCAGCAAACATCAAAATCTCTTTATGGCATGTGAGCATTAAATGATGCTAGTAGTGAGTGAATTATTGATGATATACCATATATTTTTCAGTTAACCCATAGACGAATAAATGAATGCAGCACCTGTTGGATTTCACGGTTTGAGTGAAAGGGGATTATAGCCCGAAACGTTGTTAATGAGGTCATGGAGAGTGACACAATCCGGTACCCACACAAAATGATTGTAAATAATTCAGTTCCATCTTTCACTACACTGATGACGAAGCGTTCTTCGGTGGGAATGCCAACGGTATTGCCAAAATTGCCAGAAAGTGATTTGAGATAACTTTTGAGGGATAGCTTGGCTAAAAAATTTGGTTAGCATCCTCAATATTTCCAGGGTATGAAATTTACAGTGACTGTGTTAAAAGGATAAAGGATAAAGCATTTGCCGTTGATCAATCCCGTTTTGGGATGCGGCACGCATTCTACTTCCATTTGTACATTCGTAGTGGCGTTTTGAATGCGATGTGGCCTATACAATGACTTGCGGGGGCCAGCCGATGTTCAAGTCAGTGTTTTTATCCTCCCAGACAAGTCTGGTACCAATTAACCGACCCCGGAGGGATGGAAGGCTTGGTTGGCCCGGGCGACTCACGACCCAGGATTTGATCCCCGGACCGCTCGCGTGGTAAGCGCGCCACTGGTCACTACACCACTTCCGCCCCTGTGCTATTTAGCTAGAACCAGTTACAATGGATAAAAATGTTCGAGCGCACAAGGCAAGCCGATTCGCCTAGGTCCTAAAGGCAAATGGTTTGGCCGATTTTTAGTGACGCGCGCTCAATGGTTACGCAGCTGGCGAAATAAAAAGCAGAAACAATCCGTCATGAAAAGCATTGAATCCCCTCCCACTGTTTCGCTGTTGATTTTCGCTTCAGCCGGCAGCGAGAAAACGTGGACAAGTACTATCGACGATAGCACACCGCATTATATGACCATCTGCACTCCAATCGAGTTGCTTAGTTGTGCCGCTGCTGGCAACGCAGCTCGTCCAAATCACCAACTAAACTAGTGGGCGGATCGCTTTTGGGGCGGAGTGCTTTCGAAGTCCTGCTCAGCAACCAGCGCACCTTTCGTCGTGAAAGCGCCACACCTCGCTTCAGCCGAGTAACTACTTCCCCATGCACCGCTCTCCATCATAATCGCTTCCTTTCACCTTCAGATTACTTACACATGATGCGGTTTTTAAGTTACAATGACGTCAGGTGTACATTCAGTGGGAAGCTGTACAAAAAAAGCTCAGCAACCTCTAGAATCTTCTCAAAGTCGTCCTCATTGCAGGTAATAACTTTGAAAGCACTTTGCAACTGAAGTGTAGGGGCTCTGATAAGTGGAACACCCTGGGAGGTCGTAGGCTTTTGAATCGCGTGTTACTAAGATTGCCGCAGTTTCCAGAAGGTGCTGGACGAAAAGCTTTGGCAGCAGTTTTTCTCCGGGAGGGCTCCATGCACTAATTTTCATCGGTTTTTTGGAGCGAATGACAGAGAGGGATGCGCGGGACTCAAAAACTGACTTGTGAAGAACGATGCCCCTGGCTACTACGGCTGGCGTTTTTGAGCACTCAAGTAATATTTATTTACAAAAACATAACAACGATAACAACAACAATTGCTAGCAGTGACAGAGTGAACGGCGCTTGGCTGGATCTGTGTAACTGAGATCTGACCGCCACTCGAGCGTCACTTGTGAGAACGTCGTCTATTCGAAGTATCCTGAAACGGCGCCATCTATTCAGCACTGCGATCACTCTTTCGAAAAAACGATTGCGATTTCTGATGCATACCTTCCACACGAAGTATGGCAGTCTTCCAGGCGCAATATGGAGCAGATTAACGTGTAAATGTCGCACAACTCGAGCGGACCTTTATGGTAGCCCTTCCGAAATACTGAAATAAATAGGTGCTGAGATAGTTGAGAAGAAAATACAGGGCGCAGTTAGACTACGGTAGGGAACCATGGACAATGCGTTCCTCATCCTTTTGTAACATGATCTATTCTTTTTGATACTTATTTTTATTTTGTTTTTTTTATTTGTCCTGTTGATAATGTTTTTTATGTTTTACTTAAGTATGGTACCACTGCATGAATGGAGAAGCCGTCGCTCCACCGCGGGCTGATTGTCAAACACGAGAGTGAAGCTGAACCATCTGAACCATGGAGTTCCCAAAGTTTAAATTCTCAGCAAGACTTTTTTCATAACCTCAATGAGAATGAGCTCAGTCGCCCGCCAGTCGCTCATATCGTATATAGCTTGTATATCAAAATTATTGACTAACGTCTAATTGTAACCTCCTAGATCCATCAACAATTTTATGCAAAACCCAGTCCTTTTTGAGAATAACAGAATTTTTTAGAGACCATCATTCCATTACGATGTACGTCAAATCCAGTAACCGCTCCCAGTTCTACCAAGTCAGTCAACTGGTTCTACTAGTCAAAGAGCAACATGAAACTGTGCGTTCTGAACGAGATCGGAGAGAAATGAGAACGTACTGGGATTCACCAGGTGCTTCTAGGATAGGGCGCACTTCCTTTGGAGACTAGTCGAGAAATTGCTGAATTCGAATAATCTTTCCGATAAGAAGAAGGTTGATCAAGGGCGTGCCAGATGGATCACAGCTGATAGGATTGGGAAAAAGAACTTCAGTAGAGGTTCCCACATGGTCTGGGCTGCATTGTCCAACGGTGCTGTGCTCTCCCTGACCCATAAAACGAGTGGAGCAGACTTCAGCGACTATAAGGATGTTCTTGCTGATTCTTTGCTGTCGTTTCCTATTGAAGATCGCCGGTCGAATTTCATCTACATTCACGACTACGCCGCTATCGGCCGTGTGCTTCGACCGCTTAGCAGCCAATCTGCTAAACCGTCTCTCGATGTGAACGAAATCAACGTCTTGGACTAGCCTGCACGCAGTTCGGATCTAAATCCTACGGAAAGTATGTACATGGTACATTATTGTGAGGCAGATCTTCGATTTGGGCAAATAGTAAAATATTGTGGAAGACCCCAAGCGGGATGCTGCTCCTCTGTGAAATCTCAGCTCATTCAAGCACATGCGCAATTGAGTTTACGAGAAGAAGAAATCCACAATTTTCAATTTTTATCACAATTCTATTGCCCAGGGTGCTCCTATACTTTTTAAACAGGGGACATTTTAATTTTTTTTGCAGAAATGGTTGTAGCTCATATGAATTTATTGCTGAAATAAAAAGAGCTATAGTTCCAGAGCGTGCTAAGCCTAATCATATAGTTGCTAGCCATGAAACCTTCATACCGGTAACAGCTGATTCCAAGAGTGCCTTAACAATTTTGAAGCAAACCTCCTAGCAAAGCAGTAGTCCGAGAACGCTAAGGTTTGAGAATTATCCTATCTTCTTAGCTGCGGTCTAACAAGGGTTTCATGAATAAATCGCAATGTTTTATTGGTTAATTACGTTTATAGAGCTCTCTTCGAAAACATTCAATCAAGAAAAAACTAGTAAGGAAAAGCTAGGAAGTAGTGCTCCACCTGGCCCATAGGCGAGAAAAACTCCTTGCATATCCGGATAGTGATTATTATAGCCACTCATACCCGCCCTCACTTCACTAGATAGCTGTTCTGCAATTTGCTTGCTCGGATCTCGCTGAAAATACAAATCACACGTAAGAAATAAGGCCGCATGAAAACATGGACATGAGCCTGTGTTAGGGGAGAAAGCGTACCGTGATTATAGCATATCCTGGTTGAGCCACAAGTATCAAATCAGGTACCGTAGACGATTTCTTGTAGTGATACCATTCGGGGAGATCACCGACCTAGAGTCAATTATTTGTCCAGCAAAGAAAACTGCTCGAGAAATATGTTCAAAAAAAAGAGACATTTATTTTACAAAGGAAAACGTTACGCTGATAATTTGAACTGGGAACATGGTGACAGAAGGATCACCGATATTTTGGTGGTCTTACTGAATTCTTCAAACAACCTCAGAGATCAATTTGTCATGTTCGAGCAAAAAACGTGCTAATCAAAAATTTATAGAACATATTAAATGATTAGTTGAAGAGGGAACCTTGGGAGTGGTGTAGTAGACTTTGACATTCGGTATGGGTGTATGATTTCGTAGTTGTGAGTAGACTTGATGAGTTTTCCCAGGCATGGCGATTAGCTGCATGACCGCTCCACTTCCAACGGACGTCTGGAGCAGTTCCATTGGCAGATAGTCATCGAGGACCCTATCAAAAGTATAAGTATTGCTCCGAATCGCCGCACTTATACTGGAAGAAATTATCGAAGATGTTATCAGAGTGTAAGATCAATCAGGATCTTGCTCTGGTTATCTACGTGAATCTCTTCAGGCGACAGCCTACCAGACTATCCACTCATTACCTACCTATGTATGCGTTTACCTTCATCGTATCATAGCGATGTGCCATTTTATTCCCAAAGTAGGCTCCATGGTCAACCCGTCGCTTACCTGATATTTCGTTCAGAGACATCTACGAGACCATGAGGAGAAACAACCATCACATTGAGATCTATTCGTTCTCGAGCCTGTGCTGTAACGCGTTCTAGCGCCTAAAAGACCTCATACGATCACATAGTGTGGCTTCGCACCCACATAAACATAAATGCTTCACAAGAATGCTGGGTTGTGAACAAAACTTTCGCCCCAGGCGGGACTAGAACCCGGGCAAGTGCGCTACCAGTTACGCTACCGGGGCACCATTTCATTCCAACTCAGCTTTTCATGGTATACGTACCATAGCTTTCAGCACTCACACGTATAACGTGTTGAGCCGGTTAGCCGATATCGGCAATGACCGCGAGGCTGAAAGCTTTAGCAGTGGATTTTGACGATTGTTAACAGCGATATCGGCTAACCGGCTCAACACGTTAGACGTGTGAGTGCTGAAAGCTATGGTACGTATACCATGAAAAGCTGAGTTGGAATGAAATGGTGCCCCGGTAGCGTAACTGGTAGCGCACTTGCCCGGAAAGCGAGAGGTGCGGGTTCTAGTCCCGCCTGGGGCGAAAGTTTTGTTCACAACCCAGCATTCTTGTGAAACATTCGCAACGCGAACTGCGGCGTTAAAACAGCAGTTAACAAACAAAACAAGTCAAAATAAATGCTTCATTTAAGGCACAGTTTGCGCTCATACCCACCTAAGAAGCACTTACCATGGCTGGAAGTGCTGGGCACGCAAGTGCAAAGGTAGCGCCACCTTTCTGCATCAAAACGCGTCACTAGGACCCTAGGCGCCATGAACTTCTAACAGACTCCACCAAACTTAACATGGTCCGCCCACCGTTCGATATCTTGTCTGCGTCGCCGTTGATCTGCTATGCTCTCTCTTCTCGGACTTCTCTACCACTCTCCGCGCTCACATTATCTCTCATCTCCCTGCCTGTCTTTGAACTTCTCCACAGCATGAGCAAAATGCTCGTATTTCCTGTGTATTTCAGATTTTCTTTCCTTTTTTCTCCACTGGCGGTCCACCTCCCACCCCTACTTTCACATTTGAGTGGAATCACCCATCAATTGATCCTGATTCTTGCCTTTAAGCAGAGATAAAAATGGCACAGAAGCAAAGACCTTTATACACTGATTGTTGACTTTTTGTCCGAGACACGTAAGTGCTGTGACTCCTTGCTCGAGGCCTTCTATAGCATAGAAAAATCGTGAGCACCAGCCCTGGGTCTCGCCTCCTAGGCTCTGTGCAAAGTCTGCTTGTTCACAACACTTGGGAAGGTTCACGTAGAAACGGATTTCTCCTCTATGGAAGCGCTTATATCAATTGGGTTCGCTGGGTTGGGTTGTAATACAGTGCGTTTCAAAAGTATAAAGCCACCCATGAAAACTAACTTTCCGAGTTAAGGTGAGTATTTCATGGCTTGCCATAAACTTTATTGAATTCAGCGTGTTTGGAAACCATTGTTCTCTTTATTTCAGGAAACAAAATGATTCACATACATTTTTATAAGAAGATTTCCAAATATCCCCTGTTTCAAAAGTATAAAGCCACTTGCAACATAACTCTATTTTTCCAGAGAAAAAGTGAACATCGTAAATATTAGTAACTAGCGTGACTTCCTTTTTTAGAAGTGAGATTTAATAGACCATTTGGCATACTATCCGTGAGCTTCAGAAGTATAGCGGGATTCAGGTGGTAGGAAAACGTCTCGATGGCTGTCTGAGGTCTCCCACGTTACTGTACTGCTTTCCATACGCGTATATCTGTCGGACAATGATACCCCAGGTGTTTTTTATTGGATTTGGATCTAGGCTGCTAGCAGGCCATTCCAGTACACTGATTTTGTTGACGTAAACCCGGTGTTGAGTGGACCGGCTGCGATGGATGGTGGCGTAATCGTGCATAAAGATGAAGTTTTGCCGACGACTTCCACACAGAAACGAGAGAAGATCATTAAGAAAAGCATCCTGATTCTCACTGGGGTCCATTTGACACGAGACGAAAGACAGAGGGAGCACAGCATCGCTGTAGAATGCAGCTCAGACCATCTATGCGCCACCACCGAAGTTTCTCCTGCTAAATACCAGCGGATCTTTGCTAAAATCTCTCCAGAATCTGTGATGACCATCCGGCCCGTCTAAGTTGAAGTTCTTTCAACCACAGAAAATGAACTGAACACTACAAGCCATTAACTAAACGTCATGATGAAAGTGCTCCCTACCCCCGTAGAATCACCTACCGAACCCCAACTCGTTCGCATGTTCCTCCGGGCGAGTTCGAGACGAGGTGCTTTGTGATGCTGTTCCGGACGTGGAGTCTTCATCATGGATTGTCGCACGATATTTGGAGCAGAGTTAGCGACCCTCCAGATGGAACTTTTCGAAGCAAAAAGGGAGAGCTCGTATCGGATCTGACTGATGGTCGCAGTAGAATTGGAAAGGGATCGTTTAATATGGCGGATATAATACTCAAGCAGAACACGTGACCTTTCAGGGATCTTTCCTTTCATGATAAGCTGGATTCCTCAAAAGAAATGTCGATACAGCTTTGAGAACGTCCAAGTTGAGCAGCAATGGAGCGATTTGAATGGGCAGCTCGATGTAACGTCCTCGCACGAACTTGCTCTTCCAAAGAAAACGTAGATCCACGAGATATATTGAAGACGTAATGTGTTTGTGCTAATTATGGCCAAAGAACTCCAAATGAGTTAACAGGAACAAAAATTTTTACCGCTGTTGCCTACTCGCCCGGGGTGGCTTTATACTTTTGAAACAGGGGAGTTTTTCAAATTTTCTTATGGAACCGTTTCTAGCTTATAGTGGTTTGTACAACAAAGTTTACTATAGTTTCAGAGCGTGCTGAATTCGATAAACTATTCATCAAATCACGGAACCTTCATTCTAACTTGGAACAGCTTCATTCAAGGGTGGCTTTATACTTTTGAAACGCACTGTAGAACCGCAGCGCGGATGTTGGGGTCGGGGTTTAGGCACAGCATTTGTAAAAGGTCCTGTAAAGCAATGGCTTGCAGATGGCTTTAGTCAGCCGGAGCTATCGTTGCTCTACACGTTTATTTGCGTGCTTATATAGCCAGCGTTGTGGAAACAGCTATGGGAACCTCCCTAATAGTTCTTAACAAAAAGCACTTAAAGAAGACTCTTTCCTTAGTCTGGTAAATATGAAACGGTGAGTGTCGAATGGTCTGCCATCATAGAGAAACCTTTAGAATCTCGCAATAGTTCTGTTGCTCTTTTCGTCGATTTTTGAGCAGTATGAATTCACGACGAAGAAAATTGGCACATGGGAGAAGGACTGGGAAACGGAAACGAGAGGAAAAATGGTAGAGAAAACTCTTAAACCTCCTAAACTCTTAAGGTGGGGCTTAAGCCGTCCACATTTTCGCTCCTCTCCAGCACGGCGATTTGCGCAAGCGTTATACAAGACAAAATCCCTGCCCTTGAAACAGACCCACTGAGGTGAGCCGCGAAGCTTATAGCAAAAACTTGAGTAGAAGTCGTGTCGAAGAGTCTAATTCACTGGATGGAATGGAGTAGCCCACGAATATGACAGATGTGCCGTTTCCGCAGCTCGAAAGTGCGCGATAATGGCGCTAGAGCCTTACAAAGTGATCTGATCGGCTAATTCAAATACGTGCAGGTTGGCAAGTTTCAAAAACTCGTTTGACACGTCCCCTCTCCCCATCGTTCCAAGAGAAGAGAGGGGCATCCCTTGTTCAAGGGCTTTACTGGCTGTTTTCTTGCTTCTTTTTCCTTTACAAAGGAAGTGATTACGATAAGGAATTTTCGCATCGGGGGAGAACCTGCGCCACACGGAGCAATTACTTGGCTGCCAAGGAAGCGATGTGTGGCGCTTCCACGGCGAAAGGTGCTGTGGTTGCTGAGCAGGACCCCCAGCAGCGTTACGCCCTATTACCTAATCACGAGTTGAAACCAATGGCCAAAAAAGAGGGTCCCGTTTTGTGTTTTCTTGACATTTTTCTGCTTTTTTTTTCGCTGATGGGGTACCACTGAACACCACCACGTCACACTAATCCCTTCTTGAATTTATCGTAATCGCTGCCTTCAAGACTCATCATCCACAACTCCTTTTTTTAGCTGTTGTGACCACACCAGTTCGAGCTGGGGTTGTTACCTTGAGGGCCTCTCTTACGAATTCGTTAACCGTTTCTATTGAGAAAGTTGCTCCAGTGATGACTGTGAGGTGCATAACAGAGTTAGACGTTTCTCAAGTGTTTATGTTTTCAATTTTTTGGCGTGTTCGAACCTGCTGAAATCTGTCGACCTCCGTAGCACTGCGAGCATTGGCCTTCTGTGGTCCAATTGTAGCAATCTGTTCTCGAATGTTCGGATGATAGACCAGTATCAGATCATGAACCCTGGAACTCGAGTCTCGCATGATAGTTTTTGATTGCAGGTGTAATATTTCTTTGAAGAGCATCAGAGAACAGGTGCATGACTTTTGGCTATTCTGGGGTTGCACGGGCACATTGCGCAAAAACTCTATAATCTGAGCAGCGATTCAGACGATTTCGGCATTACAAAAGAGCGATGGCGTTCGTCACCGGATCACAGGATTATAGTAAACTAGCCTCTTGATTGAAGGAATCCTTCGCGGAAAAATCATGATTCTATTTCAGCCATAAATCACTGAGACTCATTATCCACGATAAGAATGAAAAGAACAGAAATATTGCTTTTGTTTTGGTAAAAAATTCGAAAAATCGAAAGGGCTGCTACGCGTTCAAAGTGCCCACGGACGTCTTTCACAAATGCTGGCGACGGGGATGCTTCCACTTGGTTCTTGGAGTGCCTTCACTAGAAACTCTTCAGCCCTTTTGACTTATTGCATTCACATCTCACACTTGTCGAAAAAGAATGCAAGAATTTTCCGCGAAGGATTCTCTTAACCCTTTGGCGACAATGGCACCCACCGGTGGGTGCCACTATGACCGTCGCGTGGGACAATGGCACCCAATGGTGGGTGCCACCCTAAAATTTTCTTCTTTACCCATTTAAAACATTTTCAACATATCAGTAATTATAAGCAAGCTCCGTTATGCCTATGTTTAGCATATTTTGCAGAAATGAATGTTCGTACTAGCTAATTTATATGGCGGAAGTGGTGTAGTGGCAAGTGGCACGCTTACCACGCGAGCGGTCCGGGGATCAAATCCTGGGTCGTGAGTCGCCCGGGCCAACCAAGCCTTCCATCCCTCCGGGGTCGGTTAATTGGTCTGGGAGGATAAAAACACTGACTTGTACATCGGCTGGCCCCCGCAAGTCATTGTATAGGCCACATCGCATTCAAACGCCACTACGAATGTACAAATGGAAGTAGAATGCGTGCCGCATCCCAAAAAGGGATTGATCAACGGCAAATGCTTTATCCTTTTTTATATGATGTTCAGAGAAACAGAACAATTTCCCCTACAACTCATGTTTCACATTCCTCGGAAAGAGCAGTTATAGGAGTGACATCCATTTACTCGGAACATCTGAAAAAGATTCCTAAACTCATTTCTGAGATATTGTCATTCTTCTTTCCTTTCCATAACAACTGTTTAAAACACACCCTAACCAAGTCAAACAAATGGTCCGCTTCATGGCGTTCTTCAGAAAGCCGTACAAAGCGATGAGACCTCGGTTATATTATTTACGACCAAAAAATAATCTGTTTTCATCTCTGATTCATCTTGAGTGCATGCTGGATAGTCCACTAGAAAGGAGGCACTTTCTTCTTAGCGCATCATAAAACCACTTTGTTTCCGAAAATTTTTTGAGTGGAAGTGGCTGCTAACGAGGGGAAGGGGGGAGCTTTCAGGGCAAGCCGCGCTTTTTCAAAACGGTTTCTTGCATATTGTAGGGACGCATGTAGGGAACACAAAACCATGTTTCATTTTCGCTGAACGGTTTTAGCAGTACCAAAAAAAGCATAAGGTACTGTTAATGGTTCGATCCCCCGTGGCGACTAAATTTTGCATTTGGGTTGGCGCCTACGTTTGGTGCGAATGATGCTAAATATCAAGATCCGATGTGATATTGATGGTTAAGAGCATATTGACGCCGCGCAAGCGGCGAGGCGAACGCTGCGACGCTCATCCATTTTTGGATTGCTGCCCAGCGGGGGTTAGCCTCATTGTGAGCATAACCCATAGGATTGTCATTGCGGGCATTGTACGTGATTACGGCAGGAACATCAATTCACTCTTTACTTCGGGTGCTCACTCTGTCTAAACCGCTTATCTTCTCTCTTTGTAAGACTGCACAGATGTGGTCTGTAAATGAAGATGCTGCTAGATGTGCAAATGTCAATCGTTGCAAAATCCTTTTTACGGCAGTCTGTGTTCTACTCCTAATGTCAAAGTCTGCGATGAAATTGAACTCAATACTGCTCAAATCTTCTGTCAGAAAGCACTTCGCGCCATGCGCTCTGGATTGGTCTCAAACAGTAATATCGCAGCAAACTTCACACCAAATCTCAGCCTCATTTATGTAGCTACAAAAAACATGTCTACAGTAAACTTACAGCCTTAAAAAGCAATAATGTGCAGTCCCAAATTTCATGGCCATTGAACTAAATTACAGTTTACTGCTGCCGCCTCCCTCTCATACTGGCAATCCCCCCATAAGTTTTGATCATTCCAAAACTTTCTCAAACATTAGATCAAACTCCTTTAAAGAGCACTTGTCCAAAATATGAGTTTGGTCTTATGCCTGATCTCGCAACTGTGGTCTTCAAATGTTTGATTCGAGCAAAAATGTACGAGCTGAATTCACGGCTACTATCACGGCATCAAATGAGAAATTCGAGTTGCAAAACCTGCCCTTCTTTTGTGTTGGCAATCCAGTTCTATCTTTTGTTCACCGCTTGGGCATTTCAAAAGCAGCGGCTGAACGCAAGAGTGGAGCAAAAGCGGGGCAGAATTTTTTCTGTTCAATAAAAATATAGGCTCCTGTAACAGTCTCGCACATCCCTGATGCATTCCATATCTTGCTCCATCGATATGTACTGAGAACACCCCCTTCGTGGCTTCAATCGACCTCGATTCTTCGCAACCACCCCGCCCCTCGTCGGTCACAATGACCAAGGCCACCTCCTATTCGCGGTGAGAGCAATGCAGAGATGTGGCGACCGCACTCCCACAGTTCACCTAAAGGAGAATCTGTTCACAAATAAATACAGCAAAATCTCTAAATCGACACTCGCATTTGGATCAAATACAAGTTTAACCTATGAAATTTAGCTACTGGCGGAAATGACTAAAGGAATCTCTCCCAAAAAAAATCATGAGGGTTCGAGTCCCGGCAGGGTTTTTACCTTGGACACCTTATGATGAACGATGCGCTAGCCTTAGTGAGAATATAGAAGGTGCGAACCCAACACCACCCAATCTCACCCTGGCAAAAGCCGCTAGAAAGGGAGTCTGAAACCGCTTCCTGCAAGCTGGGCTGTGGTTTATCCAATCGGCCCCCAACCAACGGGATTTACAGCCTTGTCCTATACCGCCACGCCCACTTCGAAGGTGTTCAGCTCCCTTTCTAGCGGCTTTCCAAGGTGAGCTTTCTGTTCAATCACACTACTTATACTCTTGACTAGGGCTAGCGCATCGTTCCACATCATTAGTGTTAGAGGTAAAAACACAACTGGGACTGTTGCTTCAGCTGCTCTCTATACATCGTGCTGGCTACTCCCCAGTCCCGAATTATAATTCTTTCTTTTTGGAAAGTGCAATCTCTGTGCCGTGCAAACTCCAATATGTGATATATTGATTTCAGAAGCTTGACACAACTTGAACTTGGGAAGGAAGCCACGCGAATTTTGTGCAAAGGATATCCTTTTGAATTTTCGAATAAGAGGATCAGTATCCCGTGGCCTGATATTGAACCCGAAGAATTCTATTGCTCCGTCTATTGTATGCTATTATTCAAATTCATACTCTGCAACTGTCAAAATTCGAACACGCTTGAGCACATGTCATCCCTAACATCCCTCTTTCATATGCCCTCAGTTGTTATTTGTCTACTTTATGCGATCACATCAGTATTGCACGAAAGATTGCTTCGAATTTGAGGAATAATTCTGATGAACTTATATTGAACCTATCGACAGCAGCGCAGCCTGCAAGGGGATCGCACCTTTGCACCTCATGGGTCACCACCCGTAAGCAAAGCGTGAACGACGACACCCATTTTATCTCCCTATACATAACTTCGACCTGAAACCTTTGTATTTATTCCGACACACGGGTTTTGGGATTTTTCGCCGGAACAACAGCGATTGATGGCGCCGCCGTCTCACATCAAATTCGTGAATTTTGAGCTGTAAATAAAGAAAACTTGAGGCGGTAAAATTTTTCAATGGTGTTCGATGTGTTGAACTCTATGAAAGGCATAATTGTAAAATATTGATCGAAATGACGTCCAAGGCAAGTTTCGGATGCTTTCGCTGTAGTGGACCCCAAACTTATTTTTGACGCAGTCGCCATTGGAAACACACATCTGCTATACAATACCGCTACTAATTTTTGTTCAATCGACGAAATGCGACGCAGTCAGTCCGTCGCAACCGTCGCCTCGCCATAACTCGTGAACAAATGGATTAGGTCATTCGAAAGTTATACCACTGGATAGCTCTGCTCACGAAGAATCCAACGGTTCAGAGGGACTATTGAGTTCCTCTGAATTTTTCGCTTAATTTTCGTGGAATTTATCAAATTACCTAGGGCTGACTCATTAGCGAGCGTCGCTCGCCATAATTATAACCAGAGGAGAACAGATATTAAATGTAGTATTCACGAGTAATGAAGTTACTTCAAACTTTTTACTTTTAAAGTTATATCCTATGTAGAGTGAAAATGAGACTGTTGCGTTCTTCAGATGGTGCTCGTCATTTCGATACCGAATTCATCCCAGGTGGGTCAGCTTTGTTGAATGTCATTTTTACATGGAAAAGCTCCTTTGAGCCAAAGTATAGTAAAAACTAATAGGATCTGAGCTTGTCACTCAACGTTCCATTTCTACAGAGCTCACCCCATTGACGAAAAGCCACACCGTTTATGATCACGTTGTGATATATTCTGAAATACAAATGCCAAAAATTATACAAATATAAAAAGGGAGGCTGTCGTGACTTTCGTCCGACTCTAAACAAAAGGGGGTTTCTAGTCGCGCTCTACGCTGGGTCCCGGCGTGATCTCTATCGACGTTTCCGGAAACCCGCCAAGGATCGCCGTAGCTCCGCCTACAGCCTATTCCTACGAGCAGTTCGCCTATTCTGCTGTACTCCGGATTGACCGCGCATTCTCTACCGCGGTCCAACGTCCTTTCACCGTAGCCGCCTAGCGGCAGCCTTCCTGGTTCGTCCGTGTGTGCCGCCTGTGGTCTGTCATTACCGTA